GGGGGGCTCCGGGCCTCGGGGCAGGGCCAGCAGTGGCCGCCCCTCGGGCAGGCAGCGGAGGCAGGACGAGAGGCTCCCGCAGGTTGCACCGCTTCGGACCCTTGGGCTTCCTTAAGTTTCGCTGAACGAAACCTTAGTATATTCACTACTTCGCCTTTCCCTCACCCCATTGCCCCCTTTAAACCTGTGTATCGAAGGACTTGAGGCCCTGATGAAGCCCTGCGATTTTACTGTATTATCAGTGTCAGGGTTCAAATTATACCGGTGATGGTGATGGGAAGGCGAGAGTGTTCCTGTGAACGTTCAAAAATGCAGTCTCAGCCCCTTGGACCCAACTTGTGGGATTCCTGGAAGAAGTCTCCAGGGGTGATCGGGAGGGGGGGGAGTCAAAGCATTCTTATTTGGGAAATAGGTCTACCCAGTGTGCAGCCTGCCCTAACAAAATGGTAGTTGCTTAGCTTTCAGTAAAAACGTAAGAAAATGGCAAGACATGAAACCCACCAGACCATTTCTCCATTGGAGTTACACCACTCTAGGTAACTGTGTCCCCCAAGGCCTGCTGCATGCCCATCTCCTGTTGTCACATCCATCTTGACTTCATTGCTTCTGCCCAAGTTTGGAAAAGATCCTTTTAAACTTCTAGAATTCTCCTAATCATCAAAGCCCTTTGCTTCACCATCACAAATAACAGTATAGAAGCAGCCATCTCAGTTAGGGTGTCAATCTTGTGTGTATAGAGTGTTAAAATAATTAAGATGGGGTGTAGAAATAGTAGTCCTGAAAATGAAAGGTTTTTTTTTAGAACTGAGGCTTGAACAAGAGTTTACTAAAGTCTCTGCAAAACAATTAGCTAGTTCCAGCCAAGCAAATTGTCATTCAGCAATTATATTCCTGCCAGTTGAATGTGTTTATGTTGTAATGTGTAAATATGGAGGTGGCATATGAATATCTGGAATTACAATATTCTGGGCTTTTAGAATTCTGGTCATCCAAGGTACACCTGATACTTTATGCTACAAGTCTTTGGTGTTCCAAATGTTACAAGATTAGGATTTTCATTGTTATAATGACAGCCTGCCAAACGCTGAGTTACAAGCTTTTGGAGCTACAAAGATTGCAGCGACAATAGAAGTTCTTTTTAATTTTTTTTCCAGGTCCCTGGAAGAGAGATTGTTTATAGTTTGAAGGAAAAGGAAAACAACTGAAAGAATTATAAATATAGGGAGAGCAATTTAACGTTCAATACATCACAACATTATGCCATGCCATGCCACACACACTGGATACCAAGAGCAATCACATAGCATTATAGCAGAAAGCTTCATTTCCAGAAGCTAGCAACACGATCAACATGGATTTTCTTCCATAGATTCAAACTGGTTTGGCTGGGTGAGCTTTGGATATATTTTATGTGTGTCCTTAATATGCTTAAGGGCTAAATAATATATTTTATTGTAAAAGATTTTTAATTTTAACAACCTGGTCATTTTTAGAAATGTATCTCATGTGTTTTGATTACGCCTCTTTAGGATATACAGTGGTGCCTCGCTTAACGATTATTTATTTATTTATTGGACTTATATACCACCCCATAGCGCTACAAGCACTCTCCGGGCGGTTTACAATTTTGTAATTATACAGGCTACACATTGTCCCCCCAGCAAGCTGGGTACTCATTTTACCGACCTCGGAAGGATGGAAGGCTGAGTCAACCTTGAGCCGGCTACCTGGGATTTGAACCCCAGGTCGTGAGCACAGTTTTAGCTGCAGTACAGCGTTTTAACCACTGCGCCACGAGGCTCTTATCTTGTTAAACATCAAATCTGCTTTACGATGAAGTCCTGTCTCTACTCTTCCTCTGTGGCCTGGCCTTCCTCCCACTTCCTATATGTGTCCTTTTTTATTTTAAAATACTCTCTGAGCTTTTTGCGAAGTTGTGTTGGTCTTTTTTGCTGTCTTCCACCTTTTTTATCTTGTTTGAATTGTTTTGTTTTGTTCTTTATAGAATGTGCTTTCTAATGAACTGTAACCCATTTTGTACATCTTTTCTCTTTTAGGATCTCCTGCCATGGGACCTTACTTACCACAGAATACTGACTCAAGATATCAGAAGTCATATCTTAGGTATACAGTATATTCATCACTACCATCATCACCAGAGGCAGTGTTGTTGATATTAATAATGAATGTTTTGTATTTATATGAAATTCCTAGCATGCACCAGTTCTTTTTCTGTCAAGAACCTAGGCCAGAGCTTGGCCTGTCCTAGACTGTGAAGCTTTCTTGCTCAGTCTTCCTCATGAGCACAATTTACTGTAGGTGTGGGTCTGGGAGCTGGGACTTCCAGAACAGAGAATTCTCTTATTCGGAAATAAAGGAAAGAAGCAAAGAAGGCATATGCCTAATATTTATTTACATATCACTTCCTCCTCTGAGTGCTGGCTGGAAAGTTCAGTGATTTATGTATCTGGCTGTGGGGTCAAAAGTTGGAAGTCTGATTCCCCATTGTGCCTCCTGTAAGCAGAGCCAGCCTGTGTGGCTTTGGGAAAGCTGCATAGTCCCAGGTTGCCCCCAGAAGGAGAGAATGGTAAACCATTCTGTGTATTCTCTACCAAGAATATATATGTATATGAGAAAACTAAACTTAAGCTGCAGGCAAACACTTATGTCAGATGGTTGTTCTGGTTTTTTTGGGCTCTTTGGCCGTGTTCTGAAGGTTGTTCTTCCTGACGTTTCGCCAGTCTGTGGCCGGCATCTTCAGAGGACAGCAACCTGTGCTCTGGGGTAGTTGGCTTGGGAGTGCAGTATTTATGGCTGTCAGGAAGAACAACCTTCAGAACACGGCCAAAGAGCCCAAAAAAACCAGAACAACCATCTGACATAAGTGTTTGCCTGCAGCTTAAGTTTAGTTTTCTCATATACATATATATTCTTGGTAGAGAATACACAGAATGGTTTACCATTCTCTCCTTCTGGGGGCAACCTGGGACTATGCAGCTTTCCCAAAGCCACACAGGCTGGCTCTGCTTACAGGAGGCACAATGGGGAATCAGACTTCCAACTTTTGACCCCACAGCCAGATACATAAATCACTGAACTTTCCAGCCAGCACTCAGAGGAG